ACAAATTAAAATATATTTCTGCAAAAAAAATTATGCGGTGATTAACAACTGAATATCAATGGACACTGAGAGATTTCAGAATTTCTGAAATATACAAACGCAGCAGTGTTGGTTATAATTATCTCTATAAAAATAGTGATGAACTTATTTCTTTTTTACTGAAATACTCGATTCACATAGACCGTTCATAGCATGAAGCATGAAGCAGTGACATGCTATTGAAACATCAGAACGTTAAAATTAAATCTATGTCATTCTTGGAACTCAAGCTAATTCTAAAATGCATCATTACAAATATTAATTCAACAGTAAATTTCTTTTTACAACAAAAGTATTTTTGATAATCAAAACAACTGACTTTTAACATGAAAAATGGCAAAATTATCAAAAATTTGAAATTCAGTTAACGAATCTTGCTTACAAAAACAATGATTAAAGATACGACAGGCAAATATCTGTAGGATCTGCTTTATAGTTGTACGCATAATGGTCAGCGGTAGCAAAAAATATGCGCTGTCAGCAGACAGAACGCTTAACAGATGTAACTGGCATGCTCCTCCGTCGGGCGATGTCATGCTATTCTATGGTGAGGCAGGTCAGTTTAACCTGATCGAATCATTATGTGTAATTTGAGATTTTCACTTAAACGAATCGTAGAGGATTGACGAGTTCAAAGTGACCCGCCTCAGCATGTAACACGATTGCTGAAAGCATTTAAAGTAAAAAAATTAGAGACGAAACGTCGTTGTAATATAAACAACTGTTATTTTAAAATGCAAGCGTCGCTTTTTGCCGACAGGCAATTCTTTAAGGAAATCTTTCCGCAAAATCATAGCATAAATGATCCACACATCTTCTGTTTGAATGTCATGTTGTGTCTTCTTTGTGAGAACTTGTATATATTACATTTGAATTTAAAATTATGCCTTAACTAAAGTCAAGAAGAAAAATTATTAGACTGAAATAAAATAATAACTATTGGATAAACTTGTCAAGTTTATAGTAACATATGATGCAAGATTCTTCAGGAATACATTGCTTGTGGAACGTGTGGCCTAAAACAAAAATGGTAAGTGATGAGGAAAATCGAATAGAAGCTATCAATCAGAAGTGGAAAGTAACTTTCAAATGAAAGCAAAATAGAGAGCTGGAAGTAGGGTTAACACAGGAAGATAATGTCGTAAATTAATGTGAGAGTGCAAAGATACTTGGGATGGCAAGGGGGACAGGGGGTTTTGGCATCAAGTTCTACCTCCATTGAGCTGATGAACTGTCCTTTCCCGGCCTAAATGTAAACTACTCTAGGCACAGAGAATATGAGTCGTAAAATATCATGAAAACTTGCGAATCCTTGTCAAAGAAATAACAGAGTTAGTGCTAAAAGAACATCTTGCACAAGGGTTAATTTAAAGCTTTCGATTTCTCCTTTAAAATAGGACTTGTATGAAACTAGGACAGGATTTTTGTTTGAGTTGTAAGAAATGTGTGTTTTATGTAACTTAAACAGCGAAGTTTTAATAAGTAAAGGAGTAAAGAATATAAATAAAGTTCAAACTGACGACAACGAGCACGACAAACAGCTTTAGGCAAAGAAATACAACACTGTGGGTTGGTGGTTGTCATTTCGAATGGTACTTCAAGGCGATATGATCAAGTCAACGAACTTACCACAGTCGAAAACAACCAAACCAGCATTAGTAGATGCTCCATGAATACACAGTGGTAGGGTACAGCTTGGGCAATGCGAACTAAAATAAAAAGGTTAGAGGACCTTCAGAAAGAGAAAAGGGTAAATTCATGGTTACATGACACGGTTTGAAATTGGAATATAGAAATTAGTAGTTTAGCGATACGAATGATTCAAAAGAGACGAAATCAGCTGAGAGCGCGGGCAAAAGGGTAACTGTAAGTTTATCCATCGACGCTATCCATCAATAAAGAACGTAGACCAGTAGGTCAGTACTGGTCTTGTATATCTTTAGTTGTAGTTCTAGCATGTAGTTCTAAGGAAGCTATTATGAGAAAGAAAAATCAATTAAGCAACAGATTTCTAGAAAAGCTATGTCTATACTGGCAAACCTATCAGGCCAGAAAGTAGGATAGGAACATTTGGAGCAGAAAATAATTTGCTTAGTCGTACTGACCTCGAGATATTTAGGCTGACTCCCCAATGGTTAGAGCTTTGCAAATCCGTCGAATACGAATCTTCCATAACCAATGCCTCATCACTGGGCAAATCACCACTAAGTTCTCTGTTCTTCAATTCCTCAATCTGTAGCAAGAAAAGGATTTGCAAATTTATGCATGAAACATTATTACAAATAAAAACAGATTTGAAAGCTCAAACAAGGAAAAATACACGTCGGATTGCTGCGGATCAAACTGATTTTCTCGTTGCCTGGTTTTTTTACCCTGAAAATGCTTATCTCTATACACTATAGAAACTCTGGAGTAGTCTTGTAACCATTAAATAATAATATCAATTTGTATTTTCAAGACCTATAGGAAAAAGCACTTTTCAATGATGCAGAATAGACAGATCGAGATAAAGAGCAGTCATGAGAACACGGATAAAGTGGAACTGCATTTTACGTTGTTTTCTGCAACATTTTTTAACTGAGATCTGTGAAGCTTACGTCAAAGATAAACAAATTCAAATTAAAAAGAGTTCGGTTACGAATACATAATTGATAAGCGTAATGCTATTTCCCCTAATCAAAAGGCTATCATTCGCATACTACACTTAGTTGTGTGTCATTGTAGACAGGCCCAATTTTCCTGCTGCTTTAAAACCTCTTGATTAACGGTAAGGGACCCGTTCTGTTTCTACTTTGTCACTAAATATAAAAAATGCAAAAGGTTTGAAGCATTTCCTTTGAGTTATTCAATGTATTCAAGAGCACTGGGCTACTCTATTTACAACATTATGAGGCCTCTTGTTCGCAGTCCTTTGTATGAAGGTGTGGGATATTGGTCTTCCTATTTACGTCGATCACTAAATTTACAGTCTTTTAAATTCTTCTACCAAAAATTGTTCCACCCAGACACACCCAGCCCCATTCAGGATTACCAAGCCTCATCCAGACACGTCCAGGCCCACCAAGCCCCACTTATCCAAACCCTATTCTGTAAAAGAGGATACCCACGTGACAAAATCACGCTATGCCACTGGTCTCAGTGTGTGGGCAAAAATACAAGGGAAGTTTTTCCGTGGAATTGCTCTCTACAGAGATGAGAATTAGGTTCTTAAATCACATGGCAATATATCAATATGGTTTGTAAACAATATTGTCACAACATAGCAAGTGATACGGATCAAGCTTAAAATTACAGGAATCGTTTTCTTCTAAATGACTAAAGGGCAAAATTCTTCATAAAAGGACAGCTGCAAACTTCACTATATAGTGTACAGGCATGCAATTCGTACACGACTGTAGCTTCAGACACTTCGATACATGTGTATACGTGCACATGATGGCCTGGCCCTGACGGCGAGATTTGCACTTGGTCTTTTGCCGATATATATTGGAAATGTCTTTATAAAAAAGTATCAGCAGAAGACAAACCTGTGTTTGAAGCATCGATTTGTTTTCGTTGAAAGAAAGGCTATTCAGGCTTTCCATCATTTTCAATATAAGTTGCCTAAAAATCAACAATATCGAATGAATTCTCACAAAGACAAAACAAATGTAAAAGGAAATAACGAGAAACTGTTTGAAAATACTTCTAATTTCAAAAAATTTTCATATTTATCAACATAGCTGCTTTGACCTCAACTGAAATTATTTTACTCAAACATAGACATTAATTTCCATCGACAGTTTAATAAGGAAGAGAAGTTTTAAAGGATCAAATTTATACCCAGAAAAATCAGAGAGAAAGAGATTTCTAGATTAAAAGAAAATCGTAAAACTTAAATTCGTAGAAGTATTCGATTCAAAATAAGTTAAGATTTGTGCATGATGATGTCGCTGGGTGGTTTTGTTAATGAATTTTATTGCAAAATAAACTAACAAATCATATGTAGCTATACGCTTGTTAATGGTACATCATATGTATACGCTTTAAAATGAACTGCTTTTGTCACGATTCGTGTAATTTTGTCTGCAAATTGACGAGTCGAACTCATTAAAAAACTCCAAATGCTTTCACAAATTCCAGTTGCATGCTTTCTGATGAGAAAATCTGCTCTTGAATGTTTCAAGATTAAAGCTTGACATCGATATAAAAAAGTGGATCATGACATGACAAATTTTTCCTCAGAGGAAATAAAAAAGTCGTATTAATTACCTTTGCTCAAGCTCTTTTTCGGATATCTGCAAACATGCGTAATAAAATTGACTTGAAGGAACAAATTCTTCTTTAAAATATTTCAACATCTTTAGTGCTTCTTTAGGGCCCAGTTCCCTTACAAGAAGCCTTGCAAGTGATTCATCAGTTATGGTTCGTGTAAAATCCGGAACAGCTGGTCTGCATTTGTGTGGACCGTCTCTTATGTGGTACTTCAAATTGCAAAGGTGTTTAAGGTCATCATCTTGTATGCTGAATGTCTCTGTTGGAAAACAGAATATAATCAAGAATAAGATTTTGGGATTATTTAAGATTTTTAAATACCAAAAAATTCGTGACAAACATGCAATTAATACATTATAACAAACAGCTGGGACATTTTTTTCAGTCTTTCCAAGATTTACAATTGCAAACAATAGATATTTCAAAACGGTATAAAAACAGGAGCCTGAAGTCACCAGAAAAAATTACTCGTTCTTTAATAACCATGAGATTGACAATTAAGATCCAGGTGCGAATAACACGCATGATTATTCGCTTGTTTTCATCAATTTGCGACTAAAAATTTCTAAGAGAAATTAAGTGTTATAAACGAATGCAAAATACTTATTCAGTCTTCACAAATGTCAACAAGTGACGACAAGCAAATATGTGAGGTTTTACAGATAAATTACCGGCTTTGACGTAATCGTCCAAAAGCCGAAAGTCTCCCAGCTGGCTCATGACTTCAAACACTTGCTTGTGTTGTCCAAGATGACGTAGCACTTTGATGCAACCAACCCAGTACCTGAAGGATAAGGTATGTAAGGATGAAAGTTAGTCTTTAAGTATAACATTTCGTTGCAAAAAGATGTCATAAATAGAAAAGTATAACTCTAAGTCATCAGTAGAACTAAATAAATATCTGAGAAGAAAGGCAAAGACAGAGAAATTGACTTTTATTTTAAGCATGATGTAATGTTTCGCGGATTCCAACGGTGAATAGAAGAGACTTTCCCAAGAAGGACTTGCCAAGTTCAGAAACACGCTTTATTGCAATTAACAAAACCAATAAAATGGAAGTTAGGCACCATTTAGTCCACAATAGATTGTTCTTTAGAAACAAAACTGGCTTAAGAAACCCCCTCGGCAATAGCAGAGTCTACACAAAATATAATGTATTCTGAATGGTTCTCAAACTCACCCATATTTTCGACATAGCTCGAACATCCGACAAACTATTCCACAATCATTTGAATTCACAGCATTCATTAAGACGTTATCAATAAAGCCTTTCTCCTTCCAGGGTAACCAATGAGAACCTTCCCGCGCGACTCCGCAGCCACAGTAACGCATTTTGATGTTGCTTTTTGCACTGGTTTCTTTAAGAGCGCAGTAAAGTAGCGTCATCGCAACAGTGGTGTCATCCAAAGCATTCGAAGAGGGCCTCATCCTTTTGATGGTGCTTACATAACCAAGAAAGTCTTTTGAGACTCCAACGTCGTTTGGATTCATCATGTATATCAAGCAAACCTCCCATGGATTAATGTGCTTTTCGGTACATATATCAAAAACGAGGCCAGCAGATGATGGTAGCAATCTGGCAAGAACCAAACAAATAACTTAAAAAACTTAAAAAGAAATTTGTGATAATTTTTATTTCAAAAAGCAAAAGGTCTTAGATTCAGCTAGAAACTGAGTATGTTTTTATCCAAAGCTGTGAAAAGTTCTTAGTAACACATTAATTTTCCCTTGCTTCAAATGCACCTTCGTTCTAGAAGTTCTTTTTAAATAGAAAGGCCTCTAGATGATGATCATATTTTCATAGTACCAAAGCAACTTTCAAACTTACCCCCTGACGCAAGAAAGAAACTGTTCAATACTTGTAGAATCATGCATCATTCGAGCAGTTTTTCCGAAATCTTCATCAGCAATGGCAGATTTCAATTCTTGCGGAGGAACCGTATCTGAAACACGAAAACAAAAGACAGCTGGGTAGAAGCAAGTCTTTCATACGTTTTCGTTAACTTTAAAAAATTTATCAAATCAAAGTTGGAATTAAAATACATAAAAATTATATTTGCCACTGTTAAGAGAATGAAAGGACGGAGGTTCTGCTATCCAAAAAGTGATCTCTAATTCTACTCAATTTGTATTGATATTTACATGCATTCAAAACATAATTGGACATAGTCTCTGCTAACAAAGAAGTTTCATTCTGATTGGTTACCTTTTCATAGACGTCACGCTAGCCAGAAAGTTTAGAGACATAGTAATGACATCATGATACAGTGGGTATCAAACACAAAGAGAACCTAAAAACATGCTATAGGAAGGCGTTCACAGGGTCACAAATTTCAGAATGATCATTGGTGAATACACTGCCCCTTTAAACAAACACTGCGCTGCTTGTGGCCAAAGAGAGGGCAGCGACTAAATAGCGGACTGAAAAGCAAAGTTGTAGGTTTCTTTACGAGGGTGTTTTCTGGAAAGGAGGAGCTCCCTGTATTTAAAATTCTGTTCGAGCTGACAAACACCAATTCAGCAACACGAAAACTCAGTAATTGTTATGTAAAAATCCAAAGACCCACCTTCAAGATGAATTAGATATGCAATCCAGGTTCTCCATCTACATCCTTGTTTCCAGTTTAAAACAGTCCGGATTTTAGTCAAGTCCAACAAAGGAGAATACCGTAGCACAAAACACGCACGACAAAAATCTTCGCGACAACTTTCACACGTTGATGGATTTTCAGAGGTGCATAAAATCCATTCTAATTCTTCATCGAAAAAATGGATTTTTCTCGGAACAGCTATTTCAACGTAGTCCCTGAAACTTGATGTCCGCGGAATTGATTTTGCTAGCTCCGTCTCTTGATTGTGTATAATTTGATTCTTTGACGACGACGACAAACCGGAATGGGGTTCATTTGATTCAAAGCAAACGTGAGCCTTATTGCCTTTTGAATTTTGCTGTGTTTCAAAAGCGTCATCGCTTAATTTCGGCTTGATCGATTTTTCTTGTGTATTTTTGGCTCCTTCTGAGAACTGGCGGTCGCCGTCAGGAGACCCTGGTTCTAAATGACTTGGCTCATCCTGTTGAACAGTCCCACTATTCCGGTTCTTTTCAACGACTGATGGTGCATCGTGCAAATGGCCCGTGTCAAATTTATTTCTAGTTTCAAAAGGATTTTCGAGCGCCTCGACTGACAAAACTTGTCCTTGACTGTTATCATATATCGAGTCATGCGAAGCTTCCGTCAAAGCATCTTGGTCGAAATCTTCTAATAACGGACCACCAAACTGTTTATCAAACATTTGACTTGTATCATCTGAATTTTCTTGCAAGAGATTTGAATTATCGTCATCTCCCAAATAATTTTTAACTTCCTCGTCGCTTATAAAAAACAGTTTATCCAACTGTTTCTCATCACTGCTTTTTGCAAGTGACAATAAAGTAACTTTATCCGACTCTTTATCCTTCTTTAATTCCTTGTCAACATCGGGTCGTTGTATTTTACTATCATCCTGGTTTAGAATCTCGTTCACCTTTTTCCTGATTTCCTCAAAAGTAGTCTCATTTTCGATTAAACTCGCTTCCAGGGTTTCAAGATCTGAACAAGAGGTAGGGAAAATTCCTGCCTCATAACAAAGAACAGCTAAATTAGAAACTTCACTAAACGCAGCACCTAAATTCTGGAAGAATTCTTCACGTGTCCGCATAAGGAGAAACTCAGTGTCTGATTTCGTCAGAATATGTTTTGTGTTCTTCTTTTTTATATTTTCAGCCATTGCGTAAGAAAACTCCTTCACGGTGTCATTTAGTTTTTCAGCCCAGTCTTGAAGGATTTTCTTGACAGTTTTTGAGTTGAACAAGACACGCGAATCCCGTAATTTGTTCCTACAAACCAAATAAAACAAGAGAAAAACATTACCAAAATGGTAAGCTAAAAACCCTTAGACCAGGGCTGATATTTTCATGACGTAAATTTGCTAATAAAAGTCAAAATATCGATGTGCGGCCATTTCATGCCAGAAATGGTTTAACCTTACTAAATGCAGTAAAGAAAGAAGCTTAAAGAATAGTGACGAACGAGACTTAAAGAACCATCTATGTGATACAGTTAAGTCAATCTGACCTGGTTATAAAGGCAGCAGAATATCGAATACTCGAGACTATGAATTTAGACGACAATTTCTTTTTAAAACGTGGAGTGTATGATTTTGACACAAAGACCTTGGAGAAGACATTCAAGTGCATAACGAAGTGCTCCACTATCAGGGCATTTTTTAATATATAAATTCCCCACAAGGACCTTTCATTGCCCCACCACTGGATCATGATTGCCCCACCTTTTTACTTTTTGTGACCTTTCAGTGACCTTTTTACTTTTTGCCTTATTTGAGATATTTGTGGATGAAACATGTTTAATGCTTCTATAGGAGATTCCCCTTTTTATGCCCCACTGCAAGATGATAAGGCTTTAATGATTATTTGTTGGATGACTAAGCAATATAGCATCGAAACTTCCATGATACTCACCGGCACACAGCAGTGACATCAACAAACTTTGGTATGATTTTCATTGCATCCTCTGAAACCAACAAGCAGTTGAGATGATCACGGCCTGCCACCAGTGTTTCATCTGATGCTTTGTTGTTTTCAGTTTTCACATCAAACGGAACTGGGACTCCAGGTTGCATAACTTTGCGAACAAGCTTCTTTGCTTTTTCCATTATATTCTCGCGGGAAAAGGGGTGCGGTTCAGCCATTTCAGTTGACTCCTGCGCCGGAATCTGGGTGCTTTTCGCTGCTGACTCAACATCAAAATCTAAACTTCTCACATCATGCGGTGCAGAAGATAGTCGTTTTATCTACATAAATACAAGGTTTATAATATGATAAATACATACCATATAACACACAATTCGTATATGAGGGAGCTGATTAATTTCTAGCATGGCACAACAATCGTATTGTGTGATTAAAAAATTGTCAATTAACGAAGCTTATAAGAATTTCATACTGTAATTAAAATTATGCAAAAGTTGAGAAACAAGATCTTGATTTGTTAAAAAAGTAACATATTTGCAAGAAATGGCTGAAAATAGAAAGTTAACTGATAATGGCAAACAGTCATACGTACGTCTGCAAGAGGTGAGTAAGAATTTGCAGAATCAGAGGACAGCAACCGGCGGGCATGTGATTTATTCACAGTTTCTGAAAGAAACATAAAATGTCAGACTTACGTTATCATTACAAGTATATATTGTGTAAACTAGGTGCGGGAAAGGGTTGGATTAAGCCAAAGACCCTTCTACATAAAAAGTAACACAGAGATGTTCCAAGATTGAAAAACGATGCTTGATAGAGATTGCTTAGAATATGGATGTCCCACTTATATATAAACTCATAATAAACATCTTGTCATTTGAAGGGGTGAATGAGACAGCTAGACCCGAAAAGCTCAATGGCACGGCCTGAACCGCCTCGTCCAAATGCCAAAGAAAATTTGCTTTCGTTTTATTTCCATTTCATTATGTAGTTAATAATTTTATGGATTTACAAGTCTCAAATCATGCTTAATAACCGAAGATCTCACCATACGTTGCTATTTTGAAAATGTCATCTTTTTCCGGTGATGCAAAATCTAGAAAGGATAAGGAAAGGTACAAATGTGGAAAACCGGGGCTAGATTCAAGTTTTAAAAAAGCCCACAAAGTAATCTCTTTGCAGAAGCTCTTGCATTAATGAAGTGTGAGATGAAATGCGACAAAAAAGTTTACATAAATTCAGCTTTCCTATCGTAATTCATGTGGTTAACCAGAGATTCCTTCATAATGCAAATTTGACGTAATTCACGAGCTGCTCATACGACAAATTCATTGGGTTTAACAATGGTGATTGACAACAAAATTAAATAATGATAACAGCTACAAATGCAGAAAAGCATCAGATTACTCTGAAGGTGTCCCATTTCGAAAGGTATCTAGATAATCGTAAGCAGCGAGAAAAGGGAGCTAAATTCTGATGCTCTAAAGGTGTCCCATTTCGAAAGGTATCTAGATAATCGTAAGCAGCGAGAAAAGGGAGCTAAATTCTGATGCTCTAAAGGTGTCCCATTTCGAAAGGTATCTAGATAATCGTAAGCAGCGAGAAAAGGGAGCTAAATTCTGATGCTCTAAAGGTGTCCCATTTCGAAAGGTATCTAGATAATCGTAAGCAGCGAGAAAAGGGAGCTAAATTCTGATGCTCTAAAGGTGTCCATTTCAAAAGGTATCTGGATAATCGTAAGCAGCGAGAAAAGGGAGCTAAATTCTGATGCTCTAAAGGTGTCCCATTCCAAAAGGTATCTGGATAATCGTAAGCAGCGAGAAAAGGGAGCTAAATTCTGATGCTCTAAAGGTGTCCCATTTCGAAAGGTATCTAGATAATCGTAAGCAGCGAGAAAAGGGAGCTAAATTCTGATGCTCTAAAGGTGTCCCATTTCGAAAGGTATCTAGATAATCGTAAGCAGCGAGAAAAAGGGAGCTAAATTCTAATGCTCTAAAGGTGTCATCAAATGAAAGTTAGGCTGAGCAAGACACAAACATATTTCGCTTACCAACAGTTACTATTTTCGCCTTTCTTCTTCTTCTGTTGTTTGATCCATTTGGTCTGTAAATGGGTTAATAATATAAATAATGTTGGATGTATATCAACAAACGCAAATGTTTGGCATCATACTGTTCTAAAGGAAATCGTACAGTGCTCAAGAGCAGGTACGTATCGAAGGTTGAAATAAAATTGCAATAAAATTGAGACTTTTTTATTCCAATTCGAAGACGTCAGGTTTAAGTTTTACTAGAAATATAAAAAAGGAAAATCATTTACTTCTTTATTAAACAATCTATCACCTTAAATCATATCGTTGCAAAACGCAACAGAGAAAAGATTGATGCAATCAGTGAAGAATCAAACCTTTTATCTTGAGTAATTGGCGAATTCTCATCGTCCATGGCAGCCTGAAACATTTTCATCTCTGTGTTTCCCATGTCTATAATTGCTTCTTCTGTTTTCCCTTCTGTATCTGCTTCTGTTTGATGTAATCCTTCACTTGTGCTCTGCGGACTTTCCTCCTCTAAAAAGCTTTTGTTTCCATCCACCTGCACAGGAGACTGCCTCGTTACCAAATTACTTGTTTTATTCCGTGTCCTCAAAGAACGTGGCAAATCTTCGTCTAGTACTTCATTTAAGGCTTTTTTCATAAACCCTGTGACCAAACAATGAATTGATTTGTACATGGATTGGATTAACTTGCAAATGAAACATTTTGATAATAAATAATCAATCGGGTATTAACACACAGATAGCCTTATAATCTAGCGGTATTAAGCAAAGGATGGGAAGGAAAAACCTGAATTTCTAGAACTGTAAGGATGGCGGATTAGAATTTAACGAGTTCCAAAACTGAGCAGCCCTAAAGCAGTGAAGATCGCTACCTGAAAAACAGTTTCAAAGTGGTCATGTCTTAAATCTTTCTTATAAAATTTTTTAAGTTGGAAAACAAAACCCGAAAGGGCATTATGAAATACCTCTATATACGCAAATTCAGTTTTACAGATTGGTTGATATATGGGCAAAAATGATGACATTTTAGAGATGAGTGAGTGCTTTTACTGTAGAGCAGATGCTCTTGGATGAAGGAACTCAGCTCAACGAAGCAAATATCGGTAGAAAATAAAACCCGAACACAAACAACGACGTTTTTTGTGAGAAAGAAACATGATTTGGACAGGACCTTATGTTAGGGAGAAAGCTCTTGCTATATACGAGAACCATACTCTAGATGTCGGCAGATTTGAGAGTTAAAACGGCGTAACGGATCGAGATAAGATATAAAGCATTTGCGCGAACGGGTAAGAAAGCCCGGTTCTTGAGAGGGTCGTTTAGCAACTGATAAGATGTAAGATTCCAGCTAGGAGCTGTGTGTGAATTAAACCTAGTTGTTTCATAAAGTATTCATTCATACTTGAATCATGAACAATCAGAACATTTTTTCTAATGAGAGTAATGCTCAAAAACTCCGCTTAAATCGCCGTCTTAACCATATTGAAACTTTTAGTATGAAGTATGGAATTTATTCTGACTTGAGAAGTTGGAAGACTATTCCTTTTGCCGTAGGATCTCGGTACAGCAAACGCTTTCTCTAAACAAAATCGAATGCCTTAAGAAACATACCTGATGAAAGTACTTTGTTCACCACCGCGCGGGTCGCCTTCCTCAAAACCCTGTCCACATCAACATGAGGCAGACGCGTGAAACTCAATCTGCTGCTCGTCTCGCTGATAACCTCACTCTGGTTCGATTTTACGTCATCGTTGTCCTCGACACCAGAATCACAAGGTGTCCACGATTCATCGACAATGGGTATTCGGTTTAATCGCTCTTGAATCTCGGCTCGCACTTCGAAATGTCTTGCATGTAGTTGCCGTATAAAGTCTTCTAAAGCATTGTGCAGCTCCTCCTGTGGTAATATCAGTAAATATCGTTACAATACAATAACATACCAAACGATTATAAAGCTCTGGAGCGCTACCTAAATGAATTTATCAGCCATATACACAAGCCACACGCCTTTGCAATGGAAACAGAAGGATGTGATCCCAATAACTTTTAAAATTAACAATTATAAAGAATGACAGCTTTTAATTTTAGTGCGCGGATGTATATCAAACAGACCTTGGTGCCGCAGCTTACTGACAACTAGCGCATGCAAGTTCATTCCCTAGGGACTCGACGGCACCCGATAGCCGTTTTCACGCACGATTACATCGTTCAATAGCCACAGCTTTTCTGATAGATTGGCATCAAAGAGATATACCTTATCGTCAGTGGTTGGCAATAACTTTAGCAAATAAGATTCCAAGGTATTCAATTACAAACGTTGTTGATTTGCTGTATGAAAAACTAATCGCTTGGTCCACGCAAAACTCTGATCCGATACAGTGACAATTACTTGCCAGCGTTGTTCCATCCACACGTTTCGACCCCGTGCCCTATTTCTCGCAGTGTTTTCCACTCAATGTGTCTGAAGGAGTTTGTACGACAAGAAAATTCCCTGCTGCTTTTGCTTTTAAACAAGGCCAGGTTATAATAACAACATCACAGCCATCATCCACAGGTCCCCAATATCTGCACAAAGCATTCCCACAAAGGCAAACTACATAGCAGCAACAATATCCCCATATTAGCATTTGTATAGTCATTACATCAACAAAATTGGCAAATCGAAACGTTTCTTAATGGTATATTATTTATCTTATTCAGTTCTAAAACCGTCTGCGCCGAGGCACATGCTTAGGATACAGTAAAAACACATCAATAAAAAGCTAGGATCCTGAAAGCATTCGTAAATATAGACTGTGGCATTCTTTCTGCGTCATCCTTCCCTTTAAAATGATATACAAGAGAAATTACAGCATACCAACACTGACCCCTTCCTATTCTTATCCGCAAATGGACTTTATCGACTGGCCCGTAAAACGTTTTATTCTTTGAATTCATCCACCGTACGGTTCAGTCGATTAAATATCTATCCTGTAGATAAAGGTGCAGGGATAGCACCTCTGCAACATCCTTAGTTTCTAGCGTTAAATACTCCCTCCCGCATATAGTGCGACTTTCTGTGATGTGCAACTTTCTGCGGCACTCCGGTCTCAATCAGGCTCTCTAGATGGTGTATATAGGCTGCAATAGGCGCCCCGAGAGAAGTAGCTCGATCCAGTCTTAGAGTTATCCGGTACGATCCTTACCCCATGCAGAGCGGAGTGATTTCAATCAGGACAAACAATACGGAGCATATGAAAAGTAATCCTAAAATCACATTTTAAATGGAACCCCGCCCCCTCCCCCCTCTCATGAGAGAAATGCCGGTGGGAGTGAATTTATTCTTTCAAAAAGTGAGAAATACTAATCAAAAACTCAACTTCAAAAAGATTATAACTTTTTAAAGAGAAATTTAAAAGCACATCTGGGTGTTAAATAAAAGACAACCTGAAAATGGCTTTGAAAAAAGCAAACATTTAGTAAACTAAAAGCTTTTCGCCTGACACTCTTCAGAGTTTAAAACGTCAGAACATAGATCGAAAACTCTACGCTAGGAAATATATTCTGGCTACGTAGGACGCACTTCCCAAAGATTGGAGGATAGAATAAAACAACCGCCCAGTATTAGAAGCAACATTCTCTTGGTATTCCATTGGTAACATTCCAACATTCCATTGGTAACATTATCTATACGCAAGCGGCACTGTCTGGTCTACCTCAACAGTCATGTGCTCGAGTTTTCTGATTGGCCCAGATATGTATATATATTTCCTAGCGTAGATTTTTCGGTCTATGTTCTGACGTTTTAAACTCTGAAGAGTGTCAGGCGAAAAGCTTTAGTTTACTTAATGTTTGCTTTTTTCAAAGCCATTTTCAAGTTTTGTACCACCAAAAGATTGTTTGCATATTTAAAAGAAAACCTCAACAATTGATTTCTAAGCATCCTAGGAAACTACAGAAATTCACGAAAGTGCAAAACCATAATCTAATTTTATGATTTATTACAAGAAATCTGCAATATATGTTGTTGAGCTGTCAATATATCAAATATGATTATGCATCTAAGCAAAAAGAAACAGCATTGAAACGAATTCCCATGAAAAACTCCTTATGCTGGGAGTTCATAATGCAAATTCATGATAACTCGTGATGATTTCATAACAAATTGAAAATCAAATCATTTTGAAGGTTCTGCGCAACTAACGGGTAAACGTGTTCTAAAAATTTAAATAAAGTGGAAAAGGCACAATGAAAAAGAAAAAGACAGGTCTCTTAAAAGCTTTTTAAACTAGAACGCCGGAAGCGTGAATGTCCAAGTATTATGAATTTTTCATTGATTGCAACTGAAGATTCACGAAGGTTTTGCAGGTATTGGCTTCCATTGATGAATTATGAATAGAATTACACAAAGCTTGTTTGATTGGAATATTTTAATAATGACTGATCTTTCATAGTTTGCAATTTCTAGCTGATGCATACATACTACCCAGTATCTGAAAAAAATGCAAAGCATGGGAATGATATTAGAACCAAGAACACTCACAATAACATGCGTAAGAGGAAGAAGAATGAATCTAGAAATCCTTCCAAAAGATCTTGGAACAGTCAACGCATGTTTTGAAAAAACTAACAGTTTTAGGTTGCAAAATACAAAAATAGTATATCCTAAATAAACACAAAGCCGATTGGAAAGCTTATAGCTGAGAATCCCATTGGGGGAATATTGGGCTCAGAAATTGCTTTGGACTTTTGGTCTTAGAGGAGCTGAAGCTCTGTACAAGCAAGTCCCAAGGACAGGGACCATAAATACCTTACGAGCAGGAAGGGAGGGGTGCAGGGAGGTAGAGGTGCAGGGAGGTAGAGGTGCAGGGAGGTAGAGGTGCAGGGAGGGAGGGGCGCAAAAAGAATCTGCCCCTGATCTGTATTAGTGATGTTGATGCCCCCTGTGATACGCCAGAAGCCGTTTAATCTTTTGCTAAACCACTGACTCGCTAAAAAAAAATCAAGTCACATCAATTGAACTTTTTGAGGTTCCGACTCTTCATCAGACGCTTCTTGAGAAAAAATTTTATCAGTGTAGCTTAACTAAGCGCACGTTTGATCGTGCGGATAAAGTCCAGTCTAAACACTTCAAATCCAAATGGATTCGAGGATATCATTAATCTGTCTACTATCATGAACTCTAGGATTCTGAGAAACAGTTAAAGGAAATAGGATTTGAAGCTAACGCCCAGACCAGGGCGAAAGATAAGACACGATGTAGCCATTATTCACGCGGTGAGTCAACATAATCTCGTAACTGAAGATTACTAACTCTGTTGAATAAGGTCAATTCCTTGGTCTTACAAAATAAAAGGTCAGCAGGATTATAAAGGGTCTTGCAGTAATGGAATATTTGAGGTAAGATAATGCCAGCCCCTTCCTAAAAGCATCTAGCAGTTTCAACTGATACCCATTGCAGTTCATTTCCAAGCTTTCGCATTTAACGTGAGTTAAAACTGAAGTAGAGCTGTAAGTAGTAGAATGGCCAACATTTCACAGCAACCAAGTTTCAAGCAATCAGAGAGAAATCCAGGCTTCCAAGGAAAAAACCTGCCAGTTGTAAACACTAACAAAGAATACGGCTTAACACGTAATACCATGATATCCACCACTTCAGGTCACTGCCCTTCCTAAAAAACATCGCAACGCAAGATGAATTTATTTCTTTGCAAATTACGAACATGACGGACTAACCTTGGCTGCAGACTCGTCTGACTCCTGAATCTTTTCTTGAACGGCTTCAAAGTCAATGCTTAAGAAACTTTCAACGTTCTTTAATATTTCATCCCGAGAGTGTAAAGCCACCTGTCAAATCCAAACAAGGACCATTAAGGTAATCTGTTTTGAAGACCAGCGGAGGTACTTGACGTCTATACGAAGTTTGAGAGGGAAAATCGCTTTGGCAAAAATATTCTCGTTTATAAAATTTGCGACTCGGGTCTATTCACATGCACACATATCAGGGTGACCAGTCAATCAAATTAAACACATCGAATCATTTAATCACATCAAGTACAAATTCAGATACAGTTTTACTACCAGTTTGGCCCTAGTGTTTTTCCTATCAAATGGTGTTAATACTAGCAAACCAATCACAATCAAATAAATCGGTATAGTCGATCATATATCTTGATTTGCCAGCATCACAACTACTCAAACAAAACATATCACAATCAAATCAACCAACCAGCCCCAATCAATCATTACATTACAATCAATCAATCAATCAATCAATCAATCATACCAATCAATCAGTCAATCAATCAATCAATCAATCATCCTGAATCAATCAATCGACTCATATATTCAATCAAGCAAAACAACAAATAATTCATTAGATTAGTCGCTCAATCAATCATCAGGGATCCAACAATCATCCGGGATCAGTCAATCATCCAGGATCAATAAATCATCCCGCATCAATCAATCACTCCCTCCCCACATTCAATCAAGCATAACAACAAATTATCATTAGCTAAGTCGCTCACCTTAGCTGCTTGTGTGTGTTCGCTAATATCGATGAGGTTTTTGAGACAATCTTTCACGGATAAGTATGCAACTTCAAACACTTGACCATCATTACAAATAATGTAAATATTTTCTTGGTTGCAAGAAATGTCTTTAATTCCTAAAAATGTATTGTTATAGTCAATAAGTACTCTAATGGGTGTTAAAAGATTTAAGTAAAGTTTGGAACAAAGATATATCCGCCCCTCTTTCCCCACATTGAGAGTTTCAGTCAATCTGAATTTTCAAAAAATTGAAATATATCAAGGCCCTTTCACTGGACAAAGAAAGTTTTATCACTTCAGAATTATGGTGCGAAATTACGATGAAGAACTGGACTGGATTATGGTCCGAAATTACGATGAAGAACTGGACTGGATTATGGTCCGAAATTACGATGAAGAACTGGACTGGATTATGGTCCGAAATTACGATGAAGAACTGGACTGGATTATGGTCCGAAATTACGATGAAGAACTGGACTGGATTAAGAAACAGGTCAAAATTCTGTTAATAAGTATGATTTCTGTTACGAATTCTGTAACTAATAAATAACAACAGCAACTTTGCAGCCAGAAGACATGCCGAACTCGGCTAATAGGGTGTCAAAAGACTTTCATGATAACAATGACAGACCAGATGGCCTTGGAAAAGGCTAAGAGATGTTTCCTAGTTTGAAAACACCGGCTAAGCAAGCTTACCTTTGATTTCGTCATACCATCCAGCAATTTTTCCAAGGCTGGGGTCCAAGATATACAAGCCAAGATGAGACCATGTCACCACGTATCGATTGCTGTGAAAGCAGTTCAATGATATTTACTATTTCCTCAATGAATTCACAACATTTTGCAAATTTACAAGATAGGTTAATTCATGAGCCTACTGAAATAGAATTCATTTTAACACTGGAACAAGTACTGTAATTCGTTATCGCCTGACAACGTAAGGCTAACTCCATATACAAAGAAAATTTTCAAGAGAATCAAACAAATGAACCATGATTTTTTGTTTTCTCATTTAACTGCTTTGGCAACAGCAAACAGAGAGGTCGTGACTTCGATTAGAATTTTCTTGCATGGCCAGTTATTTAGGAATACTCAAGCGGACAAGATTACCGTTCAAAGTTGAAGCCGCAAAAACGACACGGAAAGCACGAAATCAAATAATAATAAAATATCATTAAAAAAATTATTTCTCACCAAATTGGTATAAGTTTCGGGAAAGGAACAGCCTGTGGTTTGTCCCAATTCTCTTCGCTAATAAAATCTTTGTTTTCTCTTTAATAGACAAAAAAGAAAGCATAAATATCATATGGCATAACACTTTCAGAATTGCCACAAAGCGGTAACGTTCAATTCTAAGCCAAAATTGAACAAAATGTTGATAAAAAACTAAATCAATGTAGCCACTATCAGCATCAGTCTTTAAATGAAGAAGAGAGAGCAGGTTGTTATCTTTAGGGTGGGCATTCATATACGTTCGTGTTTCCATAGTTATAAATTGCGTGAATCGAGTAAAAAGAGAACGAGGCTGTGGTGAATGGTTGCTTGTAAAGGGTTTCAGTGCACCTCCGCAAGAAACACGCAGGACATCCTTTAGGTCGGCCGTGGCTAGTGTATTGATACAATTAAATCAGAGTAACTATTATTTTGTAAGCAAGACAAGCAAAGACAGCTAGGCATCATTATACTACATTGTTGCTGCATAATTCCAAAGAGTCAAGGCTATTACCGTAAACCATGAATCTTCTTCGGTGGCACGGCAAGAAGATATTTGAACTGATGTGTTGCTAGAACTTGTCCATGAAAGTCAACCTGTTGGGATGTGTGGAAGTCTGCGTTTATGTCAACAAAAACAGTGTTAAAGTTGCAAAAAGTTGAGAGATGAAAAAATATGTCGTAGACAGGGGGAAGGTGACATTAATAAGCAAGACATTTGTCCGCTTCTTTTGCTTCAGTGCCCACATGGTAAGATGTCGCTTAGAAATAAATCAAATTAAACATCTGGAGCCACTTTTTCAAGTCACAAATAGTCACTTATGATTGTCATATTACGTCACATTAGGATTCCCTAAGCGTTTCTGAGCACATCAAAGATACAAATTAGGATTATACGAAATACAATGGCCTTTTTACTGACACTCGGATGACAGGATTTACCTTAAGCTATGTTAGATTATTAGTGGAGCCCATTGAAAAGTCAACCTATTGAAAATATGCTGTCTTTTTATAATTTTTTCTAAAGTCTATCTTAATCTAATGAATTCAAAATCTAACTGCTAACTGCTAATTCAACTGCTAATTCAACTGCTATACATTGGGTGCATCACATTATTGTCAGGCGAAACAAAATTACGACATCCAGGAATTAGTTCCATTGAAGCAGCCCTTAAGGAGTGAACGTAATTTACATCATTTTTCCTGTGTAGCTTAAATCAGAATGTGAAATATGAAGGAAGCGAACTATATATGTTGAAAAAAAGATTGGCATACCTCCCACAACCTTGATCCAGGCCGGGCTGCGTAAATTACAGGAAATTCTCCGTTCACATATTGTAGAAAGCACGATCCAAACTTTCCATCTCTGGAACGTGAAGACAAAAAATGAAGGAAACGGTGAGCCGCTTGAGGAATTCTCTAAATTGAAACAAAACCTTCTGTACTCTATTTAAGTTTTTATCGCCAAGATTTCGCAGCATTTATCAAGGTTTCCACGCCTTTGCAGAAACTTCTGCTATTCCGCCGATTTATCACTTGAATTGTCCTTCATACGTTTGAAGTTTCCAACCTATACAGCAGTCACAACAATTTTCCTATTTGCAATATTGCGAAAGTTTGTATGAGCACAAGTGCCTAAATACGACAATCTTAACAAAGTCTATTGTTCTCGTCACTTCCTTTATATTTTAAAAATCCATAAATCAGTTTTGGGGAACTTTCTTTTCCAGTTTTTTCTTTTGTTAACGGAAGGTAAAGAAAATTGAATAGTGTGCTTTTACAAACCTTGGTTTTGACCCAATTTGTTGATATTTTGATCTGCAAGAGATATTGAATACGTTAGTGTTTCGGATTTATTTCTTTTTTTACTATGACTTAACATAACAAAACACCCACATAGGTTAAGATATCAAAACAACAAACGAAAAATCATTGAACGAAATCGACATTGGATTCCACAATAAAAGGTATAGCCTTTTGTGCTGCTCCCTGGCCAATTCAATTCAATTCAATTTTATTCGTATGCTATAGAAGATAAGTACTATATTAAAACTGTAGTATACACGACCCAAGAAAAGTATGAAAATATCTAGCTTGGGCCGTTAACAAAAAGTATAATTAGAAAATGAAACCATAACAGTAATTACAATAACAGAAACAAGGTTGGCTATATAATTAATAAACTGGAACAAGACAATATAGCATGTGGATTACATTTCATTTTTCTCTCACTTCATAACTCTTATATTTTGACAGCATTTAGCATTGTTCTTTGAGTGGAAGAGGTTACAATTCTTTCTTTTTAGCATCTTTTATAGGCCCTTGGGAGATTATTCCATAGTTTGGTGCTCCTTTATATTTGTACATTTTTATAATCACCTATATTAATGACAAAAGCTTATCGGTTACTTTTCTTAAAATTCATTTTTTGCCCGGCTTCAATATTCATGTCCTACAGTTATTTTTTCAAAATAAGGTTACATAGGGCTTATGACACATTGTCATAATTATAATTCAATTTCATGCATTAGCTGGGACGAACTTTTTAAGTCATACAAAGTCTCGTAGTTTTAGAACTTTGATCTTGTGTAGGGCATCAAGTTTGAAAAAAGGTTAGTACTTTGGAGAGCCTCAAGATCCTTACGCATTCTATTTTTGGGCATCGTATGCCACAGTCCGTTGAATGAAACTTCTTATTGATTATTATCGTTTGATGTGCGAAGCCATACGGCCTCAAGTGCAGTAGCGTTATTTTCTAGATACACAAAAGAAGGTTAATGTTCATGCACTCACTTTGTCTAATGTGGTCATTATATATAATATGCGAATGGAGATGGAGTACTATACTGTGGTTTTCACGCCACTCCAATTGTCTGTACACTCAGGCCACTCGCAGGAGTAGTGTTCTGTATCTAACAGGATATAGATCAATCGATTGGCTCAGCAGATGATTTGCAACGATGCAAAATAGAATGGTAAGGATCTTGCCTCTCCAAATAGCTCGGACAGAGGGCCTGCGCATTTGCACTTATATATGTATATAGAGGGCCACGGAGAGAGATTTCACCTGAACATATATCGTATTAAGTTCGTCGCTCACTGATTCGTCGTATATAGAGTCTCTTAGCGTAGGTACAGAGTGAGAAGTGGTATCGAATTCATCACGCCCATAGATAGAGCGTTCAATCGGGACGTATCCCTCATATAGTACACGAGTATATCGCTCGCCAAAAGATACTCTGGACACTGAAGCATATATATTCGAGGCGAAACAGTCAATATTAAAGAAAGGAAGCGCTGAATGGGATTTGTTACTTATGGTAGAAGTGGTGGATGCGAGGATGCCTGAATGCGGCTCAGTGAGTACGGTTCGAGGGGTTAGTAGTAGCTATTGGATGTGTGTTCTAACTCGGAAGTGGCTCTAGAGCACAATGATCTGCAATAAAGTTGCGGAAGGGTCGGGGTGACTGCATGGTATGTGTCCATCTGGATCTGCTATTTGTCGGACTGTGATGTTGAGGTGGCGGTCATATTTTTAGGTGTCCGGCACGAAGACCGTAGGAGTCATTGTGGAATGATATAGTTTTGAGGAGTACGAAGCGTTTGTTCGGGAAAGTTGCAGATGTGAATGTTCTTGCAATGTTCCAGTAGGTTATGGAAGTATATATGTACGACCTTGAACTGTGGCTGGAGCGTTCGATGCTCTTGGATGTATTAAAGGTACATAGTGCGCAGTGCTTTAAAAGTATTAGTGTAGATCGGTATTTATGTATCTAGCATTAGTGGTAATTCAGTGTTCGGCGCGTCCATGGAGGGTAGCGCCGGATAGCGACGATACAAGTGTAACCCGCAGGATACTGGGTCCGTCGCAACGGCTTTAGTGCAGGCGAGGTGAGATTTGC